ACTCTTCCTGTTCTTTTTCATAGCAGTTGTTCATTTAAGGCTGAACAACTTATGGGTGTCGTTCATTTCATTGCAGATTTATTCATTTGTGACCGTCCTCTTAAGGTTCAGTATGGAATGGTGATTTAAAATGCTCACCTGGGTTTATTGCTCCCAAACTCGTTACTGTTATTGTCAAGGCTGTCGTTAAAGTTATTGCAATTATCGATGAAATTATTGATCTTATTGATATCATTTTGCAGAATACGTTAAAATTCGAAATCTGGGATCGAGAGCCGAAGTACTACGCTGACGGTGAAGATGCGTATGCAATGAAACGCCCTTTAGTGAAATTCGCAATGGAAAACGAAATTGAACCGGCCGATCGGAAGACATTTTTCGCCACTAAAGAAGAGAGGGATCACGCAAGGAAGTCGAAAAATAGTTAATTCATACACACTGCAGTTTCTTTCATTTTCTCGACATGTATTAATATATGCCAAATATTTAATGCGATGTGTATTGAGAAATTTGCAAAGGTTATTTTAAACTTGAGGTGAGCAGTCAATTTGGAGGATGTGGGCATAAATTATTCAATCAACTTTTGATGGAATATCATTTTTCGTATTGAATTCTTTACGGAGATAATCCAATCGTCCATTGCTGACCGATAGTTGAATTTGAATACGGAATGTCTGTTCTGAATCGTTCACCAACAGTTTTGTCTAATGCATATTCTTCAGTTCTAATTTAAACGTGAGTACGTTTTCGCTGGATTCGTTAGTTGAGACGAACGTTTTGACTGGATTTTAGATTTTGAAAAATTTACTGAGCAATGTTGATTTTATTAAAAATCGCATATTATCTCAATTATTGGTTTTATATTGTTATGTTGTTATCGTTGTTGTTATTGCTTTTGGTGAAGATGATTGGAAATTTTTATCATATGATTATCATCATCTTTGTGTTGTGTTTTGTCTTAAATTGCAGTGCATTCTTCACAATTATTTTGTTCGTCGCCATACAAAGAGCAGTTCATCCCGATAAATTCTTATTTATTATTCATCGCATTTTTCCGTTCCTNTATCATTATCATGATCCAATGATCTCTTTAAAAATGATCAATATCAATGATCATCCCACCATCTCAATGATCAATGACTCAAGGATGAGGGTTTAATGATTCTACACGGGAGAATTCCTGTAGTCATTCATTCGTGGTCATCGTTATAAGGCTTGGCATGTGGCTGCATGTATCGTTATAAGACTATTTCAAATAGACCAATTTCAGGATGGGTAGTGTTTGGTTGAAAAATTTTTTCGGTTTGAAGCAAACTCAATTCGAGTTGTTGCAAGTGCCGAATCCAAAAACCGAACACTGTATTCATGTAACACTGCGGTGTGCTCAAGCAGGCACCGTGCTCGGTAGTTTGCTAGGTCCATTGGTTGTGTTTTTGAATAGTTCACAAACGAGAAAGAGTTCATCTGCCGAAATGCGAGATGCATTCACCTCGGGTGGTATTAATGGAGCGTTGATTGGAACGCTTGTAGGCACTGTGATGTCTGCAGTGACCATAAATAACATGAATTCGGTTCAGCTGTACGACAAGTGCTATCGGGCAAGGTTAGACGAATGCTTCCGTCTCGTTTGAGTTAGCAGTTTGCAATAAACAAACAAAAAATAAAACGTTTCATGACGAAGTGATAGCTTGTCTCATATTCAGATACGATACGGACCAGCTGACATTCGACCGTACATGTGTGCTGGGCGCTGCGCTTGGCTCACTTAGCTCAGGTTCTTTTGGTTTGGTGGTGGGTGTTGATTTGGCACTACTCATCTCAAATGTGCTCTCAGCAGTGAGAAAATAATGCGTCGTTTGAAAAACAAGTAAGTAAGTAATACGATTATATGGTTGACTTCAGAGATGTTAGTTAGGTGGGTGGCTTTAGAGTGGTTAAGATCTGACCTGAAGTCTACTATTATGAAAGTGGATGTGATATTGGAGGTGAGATGCATTCACTTTATTAGACGTTTGGGGGATATATGAATTGGTTTGCGGAGATATTATGCTGAACTAGCAAACTGTCACGTTTTGATTTTAATTTCACAGATCATGCGATGTTCTACAATGAGAAATTCGAAGGTTGCACACAGCTGCAGTACACTTTCGCCTTGTCGCAATGAATTCATCAATTATTCAATGTTCTCTGATAGATGAGCACCAGTGAATTCGAGATTTTTGTCGGTTTATTTGAGTTGTTAGGTTTTTGAAATTCATTATTTTGGTGGTTTTCCTCGCCTTGTTTCACTTCAACCGAACATGGTTTTTTTCATCGTATTCTGTGTTGTGTTGATTATTTTGAATTTCAGGTTTTGTGCTGGAAATGGCCGTGGTTTGAGAAATTTCGATTGTTGAAATTATTCATCATTGTCATCAAGAACACATTACGTATGATTGTGTGTATGGTAGAATAAGTGTTGTTTCAAATTTGGTAGAAACGGAAAACTCGTATAGGAGTTATTGCCCTCGTGTAGCCTCATTTTAAGAGATCTTACTACTGGAATGTATGAAAATGGATAAGTTCTGATGCGTTTCCAACTTGAGACTGATTTTCATCTGAAGAAGTAATGCCCGTAAATGGGAATGAAAGAGTTATTTTTCATTTTCAATACTTATTCGAGTCATTCTAAAGTAACCATACACTCTTTGTTTTTCACCTATGTGTGTCTTGTTTGCGTTTGTTCACTCGTGCAAGTTGCAATCACGATTACAGAATTCATTGCTTGGAATGTATATGATTCTGAATGTCCTTAACCTCAAATTCACTATGTTCATCGTCGAAACACTAGCTAGTCTTATCTTATTTGTGTATTTATGATCTTTATCATTGGTTTCGATATGCTGTCAAAGAAATTTTGTAATCTTCATCATGTTGCCTAATAGGAGCATTTTTAAAATATTCTTCCTAATTTTAGAGAAGTTTCCACTTTTACCATAGTTCTTGTATCATTAAT